GCCTTCACGACATGGCGGTGGCGGCAACAACAATACTACAGCGAGGATAAAAGTTACGCCTTCTTTCTTTGCTTGAACATTTGGGCGGCGTTATGCAAATCTTCCCAGATAGTGACGTAGGTATGTGGGGGCGTGTTAGAACGAGCCATTTTAGGTAGGCGTGGTTGACTTAACTTTTATAAAGAATATCTCTTTGGATTTGAGACTTTAGTCTTTGCAACTTTACAGATCTTCTTTATGCACCAAGAGCTTATAACACTTCAAAGAGAAAGGAAAAATTGAAATCGCATCATATGACCACTTTAATGTAAATATTCATGCATGCATCCACGCCACTAGGTGTCAGTATAGATTCAAAGACTGCTGGGATAAAGAAGAGTCTGGCATAAAGAAAATGAGTGCACCTTTACATGTACAGTAGGTGCAGACACCAATTCTGTTATTTAGCATCTATTAACATGATCACAAATCAAATCAAAAATCTTTAAATCCTTTATATTTAAACAGAGACTAAATACTTCTACTGTCACACCTGGAGGATCATAGTGATGTGAATAATAGTCATTTTACCCCGTTCCCCATTTCTAATTGGTTAAACTGATGGTGTTACACATCTCCCCGGCATATGCATGTTTAAGTGACATGTGGCTCTGTCCCATAGGAGATGATGGGGGTTGAAAGGCAGTGTGAGGTGGAGGTACTGAAACAGTCCCAAAAAGATTTACAGTGGGTCCAAAAACAGCTGTCAATCATCTCTAACAGAACCAATGGACCAGGCAGGACCAAAGATAAGGTAAGTCTTTGGGTTAATCAAAAAAATTCACTACAGAAACATAGATGATCAGTTATTGTTTTTTTTTGTAGTTGTTGTATGGACTATAATACAGCATTTTATATAGGCCCTGTGTTTTATGTTAGCTTGGTTTGGTTTTGAAATAAAAGATTAGTCTGTTAGCAATGTTGTAGTTTTGGATCAACCACAAGGCTGTGGTCCAGGCATTATTGGATTAGTCTGTGTCCTGATCACGGTTTGGTTTTCTGAGGACTTGGCCTACTCCTCCATCCGGAGCAAATGCCTACTTCCTCCTGAACCCTTTTCCGCCCCTCCTTTACCCCACACCCTCCATCTGTTCTTTCACAAATAAATAAATCACTGACTACTTTCTTAAGTCACTTGGTGAGCTTTACTTTACACATGTACACATGAGACAGCAGTTAGTATCCTAGGAAAAAATAGGAGCACCTGTGGCATTTCTTTAAGTAACAGATCAACATTTTGTTCTAAACCCACATATGGATAATATCCAATTATATTTCAAATGTATTTATGTGTATCTCTCTAGTTGATTCCTGTGAGCTTGTCTGAGTTGGCAACAATAAAAGGTGGGTGGAACTTTGCACTGGCAAAAGATCAAATTGTACATACCATTTGGTCTTATTGTGGCAATGTAGCCATTCGATTGGCTCCTCTCTCCTTTTATTTAATAAATGAACTCGATCCTTCACTTTAACCTACAGTGCTTATGAACAGACACGTTTTTTGCTTCAGATCTGAAGAGGATGGAAATTGCTCACTTATACTAAGGGCAAATAACATTTACTTGGCTGGAGTGTTTTAGAGATGGTAATGAGTCCTGAGATGTACTCAGGGTCTAGATGTGCCTTTTAGAGACGGGAATCAGTGCAGGTTTATATACTAGAGTGTTGCCATATTTGGCTGTGGTTATGCAATGCTAGATATCCCATGAGACAGCAGAGGGCTCTTTTGGGAGAGATTGAGGGAGACGGGGAGAGAAAGAAGAGAATGACAGTCCACTTAATAATTGCTATGGTTGCCAGGCAGCAGTATCCAAACAAGTCAAGCTTGTTTTCTGTCTAGTTTAAGGGTTATCTCCATGATATTTCTTTCTTGAATCTCATTGTTTTTGCTGGGCATGCTGCTGTATTCATGCACAGCATGCATTAATTTTTTAGTAAGTGTGCAATACCAGTGTGAGGCACAGAGGGCAGTCTTGACCTATTGTTTCATTGCCAAGTCTGGGGAAACCCTGAACTGTCCAAATAATCCTCCTTAATACCCTGCTGCTCCTGCATCCCTGATCTCTGATTGGCCGGCGCTGCTGGGAATGGTCCTGCCACTGCACAGTGGGAGATAAGCGATTGGTCGGACTCACTCACTGGTGGAAAGAGTAAGCGAGCACGGAGAACAGGAGAGAAAGAGTGGGTTCACTGGGTTTCTCACAAGGGATCCTCATTAACAAATCCATCTTCTGCAGTCAAATCACAGATATCTGTTGAAGCATGTAATTCACAGAATTCTTGAGCATTGATGAAGCATGTTCTTTAAGTATGCAGGTGTGTAGTATAAATATATTCCTGGATGTAATACATCCACCATGTTGGCATCGTCCTTTGACCTGGATGTTCTTTGACCCATGGCCTCATGGGATAGTTAAGTGTCCACTAGTTGCACACAGAATCTCTGCTCAATGGTGCTAATTCAGACATCCTATTTATTTAGCATTCTGGCTTTTGAATATTTGTGTATGTAGCTGTGATTTTATTTACATGCACGAGAATATTCCTACATTAATCCGATTTTTGACATTTCTTTTATAAGTTTCATTTCGTTATGTCATTGTTGTTCCAAACCTGTATCATTTTCTTACTTCTGTGGAACACAAAAGAAGGAATTCTGAAGAATGTTAGTAATTAAATAGTATTGGTTCCCTTTGATTTCCATTTTATGGAAAAAAAATAAAATTAAAAATCTTTAGTGTTCAGCAGAAGAATAAAATGCATAAAGGTTTGGAACAACATGAGGGTGAGTAAATTAGAAAAAAAAATTGCATTTTATGGGTAGACTATCCCTTTAACCTGATTCCCATAACCAAATGAATCCAGTGTACAGAAGGTGGCACAGAAGCGCTTCTCAAGTGGCATTTAAGGTGTCTTTACACAGACTGTGTAATGCTGCTCAGACGTGGCGTAAAAGCATTTACACAACAAATACAACTATGTTTTGATACTGGGGCTGAGGTGTGTCAGAGCAGGCTTACTTTAGTCTGGCTTTTATGCAGAATTTTGAGCAGGCACAGAGCAGCCTTAACCAGGCAGTGTAAAGATGTCTCAGTATTCCAGTTTCTAGAAATCTGAATGAGACCACTTTGCATATGCCTATACCAAGCAAAATGTTTGTGTTTGTGTATTTGTGATATCAGTCGTAACTGAACATTCATTTATATATGTGTACGTCTGAACAACTTTATTTCTGGGTCATAGAGAGAGGATAGTTGAGGAATTGAAGAAACATATTTTTCGAGCAAAGAGGAGACTTAACTTTTATGAACATTAAAAAATGTCATGACCTACATTTTGAAATCCGAAATATGTTGCAATTGTAAGTCGCGATACAACTTAAAATAGCAACAGATCTTCAGTATTGTGATGTATGTCCGAGTGAAAAGGATTATTGGAAAAAATGTAGTTCTATCCATTGGTTTGTTCTATCCATTGATTTGTTCTATCCATTGGTTGATAAATAGTTTCAGGCAGATCTGAATGCATGCTTGCAGTCGATTGTAAGAAAGGAGTGAGGTTTAAGTGGAATAAACAATAGGAAAATACAGCAAACGTCATGAGAGAGGGAACTGACGTTTTTACCAGAAAGTCGAGTTATGTTTAATTAAACATTATGAGGTCTAAATGAATGAGTGAGTGAATGAATGAATGAATGAATAAATATACATGGATGAATTGTTCATAATAAGATCAATAAGCATTTAGAAAATAGGGTGAATTTTCATTTCATGCTGACTTGCGGACATGAATTAGAATTGTTTGGATTATTCTGCTGTATACAGGAATATTCTGATCGCTGTGCAGCTTGTAAACATCCTTTTGGTTTAAGGTTTAATCACAATATGGACCTTAATCAGAAAATTATGTTCATGTAAATGTGGCCAGTGATGGGGGAGGGAATGAGAGAGAGAGAATGCATAAACACCTTATTTGACCTTGTCAGCTCCAGTCATGGCCCTCTAGGGCGGATGGGTGATGCTCACCTGGAAGATGATGCTGAAAATGCAGATGCACGGCATTGGGCATGAGAAACGTGCATTTACATGACACAGATGGCAAAGTGAACCAGCGCACGACTGTCCTGCTGAAAGCTGCACTGGCTCTGCACTTGTGCGTGCTTCTCCTCTCTGTGAGTGTGTGGGAAAGAGAGAGCGAGAATAGGCCAGTTGTGTTCACATATCTTCTACATTGATCCAGCACACAGATACAGCTGAAGAGCGCTTTAAACGAGCGCTAAAGACAGTGTGTTTGTGTGCTGCGCTCTTCTTCTCTGTGTGTGTCTGTGTGTGTGTGAGAGAGAGAGAGAGAGAGAGTGGGTGAGCGCGCGCCTGTGCGGTCTCCTCAGTGCCGCCCGCTCCAGCGCTTTTCTCTTCCCGACGGTCGCTAATGAACCGTTTTAAGCCCGGATAGCACGGACAGCGGACCGGAGCCGTCAGCCGCCCCTTAATATGACACAGTTGGACGCGGCTGTCTTTACGGGAATCATCTTTTAACGGAAGAGCGGCGGAAGAGGTAGAGTCGCTGTCCATCGCTTGATTTGGTTCGCGCGCTCAGCTGATCTGAGAGCATGTTGTGTTGATAAGGAATGTATTGGAGGTTTTGGTCAGAAATGTCTTTTAAATGCGTTACAACACGGTTGTTTAGTCGGATAGATGTTTACTTTGCTGCTTTGGCTGTAAATGTCATTATGGCTCGTGCGGTCGTCTGCACTATAACCTTATAAATACATATAGTAACGTGGTCCGCTGTGCCGTATTAAATGGGCTGAAAACATTATTCAGTGTCTTTCTGCCAGTTAAACACATGCCTGTGTGGGGTACTTTTGTCCATAGCCATTTTAGATTGCAGCACTGCTGAATGTTTCTCACAGTAGCTTGTACTATTAAAGAGATAGTCCTCTTTTTCTCATCACTTGTGAGCTCTTCAAACTACTTCTAGATCTCGCTGTCATAATCAGTTATAATTATTTGTTTTAGTATTATTTTAACGTATTCTTTTATTTTAAACAACCCTAAAAGTGATAGGTGAGGTCAGGGCTTGTTGTCACCGAGATTGGGTTTATTAAAGGGATTTAATTGTTAGCATCATATCAATTGATGTCAGATCTGTTTTGACATTGAATATCTGTCTCTTGGTGGATAGGAGCACAGCGTATTTTATGCACAATTCAACTGTTAACCTGAATTCACTCCAAGCATAATCAGTTTAATAGTTATTAGCAGATGCTTTATTTGGTCTAGTCACCAAAACATTGCCATTTCAAACGCATACAATCACCTATGTGCTTTTTAATTATTAATACATTCTATAATGACATGGTGTACCTCTGGTGTAATATATCTCCCTGTAGTGTGATGTGACAAGACCTCATCTGTTACATCATATTATGTGGACAGTACAGATTTAAATAAAAATGAAATTATTGTACATAGTGTACTGTAGGGCTGTCAAAATGACTGAAAAACTAAATTCGAATTTTCTTCTTAAATATGATCAAAATTCGAATTATATTCAAATTTAAAAGGCATAATTTCAGTTAGGGGGAAAAAAGCTTTTGGCTTCTCTGCTGAGGCCACAAGAGGGTGCATCGAGCAAAATATTATGCACGTTTCTTCAAAGCGTAATAAAATAACACAACTATCTTTGAAAAAAAGTGCATAATGTTTAAAATAATGTTTATAAACCATATATAATTAATAAAGTTGCTTAAAC